GGAGAGAAAATGGGGTTGCTTGGATGACGGTCATTTCTCCTGCCAGGTCGTCTCCCCTGCATTGTCTGTGTACAGGTAGATAATTTTTAACATAATTACTGACATGTTTGCTCCGGACTATAAAATTGTACTTGCCTCTACTAAGTACTCATGGTTTGCCTTTCGCAATCTTTCTCTTTTCTATCCCTGGTTCCTCCCCTCCCCCACCCACCTCCTTCCCCATCCAATCCCGTCTCTTTCTCTCTCTCTCTCTCTCTCTCTCTCTCTCTCTCTCTCTCTCTCTCTTCTACGCCCCTATGAGCTTCCCTGTGGGCACGCCTGTTTTTTGCAAGTGCAAACTGAAAAAGACATTCAACATTTTAAGAGAAAAATTGAACTACAATAAGAATCGATTTTACTGTCCCAAACAACGTCGGCAAAATCTAACAACAATGCTCAACTTTCCCCATCGCCTTTGTCAAACAATTCTTAATACTCGAAAAAGTCGATTGCTTCCTTTCTCGGTTATTCTGCCAGTACAGAGTAATCGAACGAGGCACCCTTTGAATATTGAAACCCGACGTTGTTCCTCACGGAAACGGGATGTGAACGAACGATCTTATTCTCCATTGTCATTTTCATCCCTTTTTTTTATTAATAACGTACTTATGTGGCTTCCGCTAATTACAAATATGAAAAGACAGCATCTTTTAATGATGACATTTACTTTTGAACACCCATTTTAGTTGGCTATCTAAAATACCGCGTCACTACAGTAAAGAGGTTGAATTCAGGGACATTGTGTTAGGGAGAGCATTTCTCGTCAGCAACAGAAAAGAAAAATAGGAGCTCTGAAAGAACGTAGAAGGAAACGACTCCATAGCAAAGCGCTTGTCTATTACCAGCGACGCCACAGATAATAAAGTGGAGTGAAAATTACGGCTCTCAGATCCTGGAGACTGGTCGGTCTGCTGACCGGTAAGGCGCCTGCTGTAGGTTCGAACATAGCTAAAAACAAATAGACAGACAGATGCAGTCCTCGACTTTTAACCCATAACTTTTGAAAGTAAAAGATGACTCTTTCCGTTTCCTTTTTTCGCGGTTACAACCATCCCAGCATTTTGAGTAATATCATGGTTGTTCTTTGTACGTCATTAGCTCTGTTGCTATTCTAATGAACTGCAATACGGTTAACCCTGGTTCGATCCCTATAAGTTATTCTTGACCATGCGTTGTTCCTTCTTTTGATTATTCACTCGCGATCAACATGGACGAGGGTATAGTGTATTGAATTTTGTTGTCCCTTTCCTAAATTTCACTGGTACAGCTGTGTTAAAATCAGCTTTTTCCATCCAAAACAAGGACACTATGTCTCCCTGATGTAATGTGCACTGCGTTTGATATTGCGTCTTTCAGCGTCCTATTTCTGTTGTTTTATTTACTTGTTCTGATCGTTTATATGCTACACGCGATTAACTGAGATAATCAAAATAATTTCCAGACTATTTTTTATTTACTCTTTTCTCATTTGACTAACCGTATTCACATCATAAAATTTGTCTTTATTTTCTTTGTTGTCCTCAGGCACTATCAGTCCGACGTCATGGGTTCCAAAGCTTTTGTACACAAGCTCCTGTTCTCCTTGGCGCTTTGCTCCAACCTGTACAGTGCAGAGAGCAGAACGTCAGCAAGACTGGCGCGAATGCCCATGTACTTCGGAAAAAGGAGCTTGTCCCCTGGTCTTCAGATAGCCTCAGCTTCAGTTCCCGATAGCTCTGTGTTTGCAGGAGGCAACGAGCGTAACCCAGCAGCTAAGAGAACCCTGCACCGTTTTGGCTGGTTACCACAAAGCCCTATTGACTTGGCTTTTTTACTGAACACTTTTGACTTCTCAACGCAAGTTCCCTCGAGGCCAGCAAGAAGAGCTAGTAAGGTCATGGCGAGAATGCCTAGCTTTTACGGCAAACGAGCAAAAGCGTCACTTCCTTCGAAAGGTACTGACGACTCGGGGATTGATGTCGTTACAGACAACACTAAAAGACAATCTGCCACAATAGATAGAATGCCCATTTTCTGGGGTCGTAAAAGATCAGGATCATTCAATATTTTTGACGGAGGGAGGCGTGCGCAGCTGAGTCCAGAGGTCTTGGCTCTACTAAGCTTCTTGGACGAACTCAGAAAAACGGGAAGTTATGACAATCTAGGTACTGTGATTAGCGCCAGCACATCGTCTGAACAAAATGCTGTGGATCCAGCAGCAGCCACCACTCTGAGCCCTGACGTCACACCCAGTGCCTACAGCGAACGTGATGAAGACACCAGAAGTCACGGAAATGCGCCTAGTTGGAACATACCCGGGGCGGGTTCAATGAAAAGACGATCTTCCTCTAGAATCAACAGGATGCCTTATTACTTCGGGAAGCGTGAGGATCCAAAACTTGAAGAGCAAACTAAACTCGCGTTGCTTCTAAATCAAAACCCGAACGATCAAACAGATCCAAGTGGGTTGTTTTCTGATCTGGACGGCTCCGCAGCAACGCTATGGACTGAGCTGCAAGAACTCCTGTCTGCCGACGACAATGCGAAGAACAACTGGAACGCAGAATATTTAAGCAAAGAACCTATGTCCAAAAGTGTTACACCGAAAACAAACAAAGAAAGAGATGGAGGAAATGCAGATGATCAGTTCTCTAAAGTTCTCGAAGGAAACAGAGAGGCGGGCAAGGGGTATGATCCGGACTCTTACCTCGAATTTGCCAAACAAATTTTGTTTAACAATAAAGTCAGCGCCAATGATTTGGACGAATATTTCAGATAGCAAAAGAAAGACACTGCTTAAGCTCCCGGGAAAGTCGGACCTGAGTGATTTGGCCATAGACAATATTTATCATTGTTTAAATAATATACTTTTGAAACTAATACTTTGTCCAATAACTATAAGCGAACCTGTGTTTATTCTATTAAGTATGCATGTATTATTGACCAGTGGTAATTCAATGCAATTAGTTGGGTAGGTTGTGTGAAAGATATGCTTATTTTAATAAAATCTACAAAGTTCAGACAAAAGGCAACCCAGTGTTACATTACATAATAAGGATGAAAACATAAATGAAGAAAAAGGGGGGGGGGGGGTGTTTGAACGACTGTCAATTTCCTGCCAGATGTTATTGCCCTTGTATTCAAATTAAAAAGAGAAACAAGTTGTTATTCTCTGTCTTATTTTGCAGGTTCTTGTTTTCTCTAATGTGGAAAAAAATTATTGAACATCAAAACCTCAAACTGTGCAAATGAAAGATAGCTAGACCAAATTCCTCCAAACACCACAAAGGTACATACGTTACGTTGCTTCTTAAGTAATAGAAATATTGTGTTGCTAGTGGTAAATAATTCGTTTTGACAATCACAATCTCTCATATGCCATAAAACAATCTGAGAAATGAAAAGTTCTCCTTTGATCTAGTTAGTGTTGTTATTATCTTTAATTGGTGTATAATCGCACGATAAAAAACGTGACAAATGGAAGCCTAGAAAATGTTGCCTTACCAAATGTTCGCTGAGTAATGTATGCTTTACGCAGTGCACTCCTAATTCATGTCAGTGTTAAAGAGCAGTTGTAGTCTGTTCAAAGAGTGGAAGGCAAAATCATAACTGAGTTAGTTGAGCGTAGGCTGTGAATAAACTGGTTTCGGAAGACAGCAAAATGCAGGAAGGAGACGGTTACCTTCGTAAGCGCAACTTCAGCGCATCCTTTGGTACTGACTTAGACGATACTTTTAGCCTCCTTGTATCAGTTCTGGAATCAGATTACCATTCAGAAGGTGCCAGCAGCGTTGGTTATAATTATGCACTTTGCGGAGAATTATGTAAAACGTAAGGCAAAGTTTTGACGAAATGTGACTTGTTTTCTGAGAGCATCCGAGAAGAGAAATGGGTGGCAAACTATGACTGCTGATGTATGTTCCAGATCTGGCACTTAATGATGATGAGTGCAGTACTCTTATTTGTTTTAATGTTAACTTTGCTTTCGATTAACGCTTAAAAGAAAGACTTCCAGATTAATAGAGGCACCGGTTGGGATTTTTTTCAACGCAAGAAATGTTTTCATCTTCAAATATTACAAAAATTTTGCTTAAACCGTTCAGTTTTACTGTATCGTACTAGATCTACATCGGCATAGTATAATTTGTCAGGATCATTTATCTAATTGAGTTACCAACTTCAAGCAAGAAAGCATCTTTCTCTCATTTAATTCTCATCTATAGATATGTTGCAGGTGTGTTTGTATTCGAGTTTTTAAGAAAGAAATAATGACGTTGTATCCGTAGACCTATTAAATGAGTTTTTAAAAAATAGATTTTGCAGAATTTCATAGGGGTGGAATATAATCCACGACCACGAACGACAAAAGACAAATCTGATCCCAATAACTTTCACACTTGACACACCAATCCCAATAAATTTGATAAAATAGTTGAAAACTGACAGCCATCGAAATGCAAACAAAGGCATATTGTAAAGGTCCTGCTGGGCGTCCCCTCCAATGAAAGTGGGAATTTGTCCACACTTTTCATAAGCAGAATGGTGAATGTTTTGTATTCATTCCGTGAAATGGCCAAGGAACATTGCATTTATATACAAACTTGGGTTTTTTCCTCTTTGAATAACCTCTCCCTAGCGTTTCACTTTACTTTGGTTTTTAGAAATATGTTAGTCGGACAAAACGCTTACAGAAGCAACAGACCCGACCATACGAGACAGTACGCTAACCTCAGTCTCAATGCATGATACAAAGACCACTCTAAAAAAATTGATGATAGTTTCTTTTTTCCAAGAATAAACATGCCACGTTATTCTCCAAACACAGGGGACTCCAACACTCTTCCTGAAAAAAGAATAAACATTGTATTCATGAAAATATGAATTTGAGTCATGGTTTCTTTTTTAGAGCATCGTTTGTGAACATGTACCAGTGTATCTGCTGACATATGATGATTCTGCCTGTCTCTGCTATTTGTGTTTACTACAAACCAACAATAAAACAATGTCTAATGTAGGTATTATACGCCTCCATCGACACAGTTTTGGTCATGAGGACGCAAGCTTCCTACCCAGCTTGTCACGGCCAATCCAGGCTGAGATGGATACAACACCCCAGCAGAAAGACCGAGGCTCTCAATAAAAAGTATGTCTATCAAATCGGGATTCGAAGTCGGGTCTCTTGTGTGGAACATGACAGCGAAGCCCCCAACCTCTCCACCGCAGACACCATTACTAACAAAACCCACAAAAGAACAACAAAGCATAGATTTTTTAGAGCATTGTTTGAAATGCTGTTTCTGTGTCCAAGGGTCACAAGAATTGACTGCCAGTCGAAGGGGGAAAAGGAGAACAAACAGCTGAGTTATATCGAGAGCATACAATACAACATCTTGATTTCCGTATTTTAAATACCTTATTGATTTTTGGTTTGTTTTTGTTGTTATTGTATTTGTTTTGGTTATTGTTGTTGTTTTTGTGGGGGTTTTTGGTGAATGATTTTAAAAAAAAATCGCGTTCTTTGATCGTGGATGGTGCACCTTCTTTAAAAACAATAACAATGATCATTGGGTCCGCAAGGTTGAGTCAGTATCAGAGAAAAGTGAAAACTCCAAATTCGGGGATCGAACCAGGGATCGTTGCAGTGACTGTAACCGAAATTTTAAAATCAACAGTTCTATCCATCTCTAAAGACAGTCTTTCCGCTCTAAAGGCGTCAATGGCGTTGCGATTATATACTTCGCCATTGCACTCAATAGATATTTTAAAACTATTGTGGAGAAAGCCTATTATTATCAAAAATCTCCATCTTTCTGCTCGTAAGAGGTGGGCTCTGTTAGCTCAGTTGGTACCATGTTGGGTTACGGAGCGGATGGTTCGAATCCCAAACTCGGCTATCTTGATCTCGGATCGTTTTGTGGAGCTTTAAGGGTCTAACACTCTTTGGCTCGGTCCTATCGGAGACGAACGTTAAATTCCGAGGAAGTCAGCCTCTTAAATAACCTATTAACGTTGATAGGGGGGGTTAAACCTATACACTTACCTTTTGCTTTCAGATGAGGTATCGAACTCAGCCGTAGTAAGGTAGTAAGATGTAACCTGCGTCCTGTATGATATAAATGAAAATGGTGAAATGGTATAAGTTTAACGCCCCTATCAGCACTATTTGGTTCTTTAAGAGGCTGGACCTCCGAGTTTAACGTCCATCCCCGAAAGGACAGAACCAAATGGGAAATTCGTGTTAAGTGCCTTTGCCAAGAACACAACGTCGGACCTAGCTGAGGCTCGAACCCCCGAACCCACAATCTCACCATTACGGGCCGGACGCCATTTTGATATAAATGAGTTAATGGAGGTTTATGAAGTTCACAACTATTGCATCCCATTCCATGCCAAGTCTCCCAAAATTAGCAAAGCCGCTGAATGGCAACGAGGCTTACTGTAAATAATGTATTAAGTTGGATAAAGCTTATCTTGCAATTCGTTATTGTGTCTCTTAATGGACTTCCCTCTATCAGATAAACTGCCTGTCATTTTGAAGGTGAATATCTCGTATCCTCAATAGCACACTAGGTTAAGAGAGAATATTCCAGGAAGGACGCAAATAATTATGATACGATAGAGAAACTTTTGAACCTGGAGTTTTCGAGGAGCAAATCAACGTTTCAACCAGATGTGCCACTACGGCCATTTAGAGTGACTCGGAGTAGAGCAATATATAGAATTTAACCAAAAAAACGCCAATACACGAAAATTTATGAAGTAATAAATAAGCAAACAAGCAAACAAGCAAACAAGCAAATAAATAGGCCAAAAATACTGAGAGTACCGTAAACCCAACACGAGCAAGAGAAAGATGGCACAACAACGGTTTGACGTACCGAAGGTTTTAATACCTGTGTCAGCACACTCGCTTTCTTAATAATCCTCTTCACATGATGACATGCATAAAACCTCGATCGGAGATCGTCTTTAATTGCTCCTGACAGTTTTTCGAGGAGTCTGCATGTGATCCTCCTCTATCTTTTCATCGAAATCTGTACTGTTTAGTTTAGTTTTAGTAGAGGTTTTACGGCGACGCTACTGCATAAAGTCATATGAGCGCCAGAAGATTAAAGGTGTTACAAGAGAGTAACAAACATAAAAAAGAAGGGATGATAAGGACGATAGATGTTTGATACGAAAGAAGAAGCAAACCACACCAGAGCACCCTCTAATCACCCACAATCTGTACTGTTCTTCTCGCAGTCGTCTGAAGCGTCTCAGGAAGACCTCAAGAGCGTTGCTGATAGCCGTAGTCATCTTCTTTGAGTCAACTCAAAATTCTGACTCCAAACACAACCTTGAAATCTCAGATTTTAAACAAGCAAGTCTTTACTTTAAAAGCAAAATTTAAAAAAAGACTCTCTCTCTCTCTCTCTCTCTC